AAACATTTGTACTGAAGGTTAATTCAACCAGCATATGTGGAGAAATGAACACACTGCTGTGCTAAAACGAATAAATCACAAACTGAAACATCACTAGCTGCCAAGGACTGCCCAGATTTCCAAAATATCCTTCAAACTATGACCCAAAGTTGCCTCCACTCTGGGGCCAAGTCAGTTCAGCATTTGGCAAAATCATTCACAAGTCACGATTTATGTGTGTCTGTGTATGTCAGGGACCCCCAAGCCACAGACTCAAAATGAATTTTATGGCTAATATAATACAACCACTAAATGCAAACACCAGAGAAAACTGAGCCTTGCTTAGGTAGGGATAATGCCTCGTCCAAGAAACAGATCAGTAAATAAATTGCCCCCTCAAAATGGGGAACCCCTTGACAAGGCCACGCTATATCTAGGAATGCCATGTATGGAAATTCCATACATGTGTACTGCTTTCTCCACAAGAACCACTGGCCCCGTGGTCTCAAGTTGTAAAATATGAGGGGTTGTTAGTCTATGCCAGCCCTCTAGAATTCTACAGCTCCTGTTCTGGCAGTAACTCATGTTCAACTGGAACATGATGCTTGTTTAAAATACACCGACCGCTGTTTTTTTATTTAGTAAACATTCTGACACTTCAGGTACACTTACTTTCAGAAAGACCCCAGCCAATACAAAGTATTAACATCTGCCCTGGGCCTAATAACTCATGGGGCATTAAGCGTTGGGCATAAATAAATGTATTTTAGATTTAAACAACATGCCCGTTTATTTGTAGTGCACTCTCATTCAGTGTTCCTTCTGCTGTTAGTTTTCAGTTTTCTGCTTTGAGTATAAAACACTGCTTTACCTTTTAACACGTCCGACTAAAATTTAAACAGTTATAAGTCTTAGCTGCTTGTTCCAAGATCCGCAAAATGAAAAGTGACTTCTAAACTCCCTAAGCTTACAAAAGATAACCTTAAAAAAATATGTATATATATATTACTCAAGCATTTCCCTGTGTTTCAATACAGTTCATTGCATAATGAACAGAATGGTGCTGATCAAGGATTGCTCAGTACAGCCGTGCCATTATTGTGATTTTCAGATGCGCTCGGTACACTGTGATTGTACATTGAAATACAGAAGCCGAAGGGGAGACCGTTACAGCCGGCATACTGTTGCTTATTGCAGCATTCTACTTTAGTTTTTCATTCTTAGAAATAAGATCTGCTTTAAATTTATCCAGAGAACAGAGACAAAACAAGCGAGACAGAACAAAAAGGGAAACTCTGGAATCTGGATGATTCAGGACAGGCCAAACATGGCGACACGCAGGATACGCTTGACAGGCCTATGCGGACAAGGGACAGGGGAAGGGGAATTAGGGAAGGGGGAAAGAGAAGTTAAGACTGTTCACAACTGGGCCACCGCAATGACCCCCTGGGGACTGTTGGGGGGGGGGGCTGCAAATGGCCTAGAATGGACGCAGACTTTTTGGGACGAAGTGGGTGGATCGATGGCCCAGGGTGCAAATTAAGAAGAGGGGGAGATAGGCACAGCCATGAGGGTGTAAAGAAAGGTTTTATAAAGGGGACAAAATTGTCAAGATCAGATGCCAACATGGATGGGGGTGGGTGATAGGGGGCATTGAGGTGTGAAAGTCCAGGATTTTTTTGAGAACAGGGAGGGGTTGGATTGAGACATTGAAGTCAACATGTTTTGTTTTTTCTATGTGCTGCATCTCTTTGGAATTCCTTGCCTGGTGCTTGTTTCCCTCCAACCTATGATCTGTCTTGTTTCAAGATGTTGATTCCTACCTTCAGTTTTGCTGAATACTTACTCTTTTATTTATTTCTTTTTTTAGCCTTATTCAGGGCAAATACGTGTAGGCATAAAAAATATACAAAACACATACATGTAGGACCTTGAGCAATTAACTGAGGTTAAGGAATGGAAACAAGGGATTTTTTTCTCAAGAATATGTAAAAAAAAAAATTAAAAAAATAAAAAATAAAAATTGCAGACAGAAGAGGGTTGGTTAGCCACCCCAACCACCTCACTAAATCCACCTTGCAGATGTCTACAAATGTAAATACATGTACATGTACATGTACATGTACGTACTGCAAAATGTACCTAAAGTACATGTACATGTACCTGCACTTTACAGCCTTTCAAAATGTTCAACAAGTGTGACCCACAAAGTTGTAACCTTGCCTCTCAATACATCATAGGTGTAATCCAAAGACATTTGCCAGAGGAATGATAATTCAGCCTTGAACAGATTTCTGAAATTGACGTGTTTTTAAACATATACAATAATGTGTATGCTTAAATAGTAATTCTAAAAAGAAGGATTCAAACCAACACTTAATATGTGGAATAGATTTTCACCAGTCAAAAAATAAAAAGCCAGAAAAAAACATATTCCTTTATCTTATTAATCCGTTTTTGTTGTGAATAAAGGTAATTTTCTACAGTTTGGGAAACTTGTCGCATAGAAACAAAACAAAATGATCGATGGAAGAATGAGATTGGGGGGGGGAGGTTGTAGGGGTTGTACATGTTTGCCTGAACAAGTCACGCTGAACTATAACACTGCCCACGCTGACCATTTGAACTTCTCCATTAACTAAATAACCCCCCCCCCCCAAAAAAAAAACCCCGGATTTCAACAGATTCTGAGTAGTCCATCTAGGATGTCAGCAATCGTTGAAACTGGGTCTGAATGACAGACAAAAGAGTGTCTTGATAGAGTTCCTGTCACTCGATATCACTGGACTCTTAACACTTGACGTGACTTTTAGACACAGAAGGCATAAGTGCACTATAGAATCCCGCTCCATTCAACTGTCTTTGACAGGCTAAAAACGAACTCCGGCGTCTACATTTCCCTCAGAAAAATAAAATTATAAGCGGAGGGAGAAAACGGAAATACCTTTCAATTTTTTTTTTCGACTCCTTCGGGTGGAAAATATTCACTACAAGAGAGGAAATAGCCACTCACGCAGCCTTCAGATGTTTGAAGGGAAGATCATGTCAAGATGCTGACATAGGGGACCCCCCCCCCCAGGGGGGGGGGGGGATTGCATTCACCTCAAGACTTTCCCTGTGCAGGAAAATACATCAAATATGACCGGATCCCAACAGAAATGAGCATTTAAAAAAAAACCTCTTTTGGCAAATTGGTTTATTTCTGAGCATTGTTAAAGAGGCTTTGCATAGACAGATACATATTTGCGCACAGGGGCCGATGTTGTAAAAAAATGCTACGAATGTTATGAACATTTTGGTAATGAGAGCAGGGAAATGTCATACTTAACTTGCTTGTACAGGATCATTTGCTTTTTGTGATTTCTCTCTTTTGAAGCAAAAACATTGTTCAAAATCATAGGAAGGGTGCATGACAACTGACCTGTTGAAATTTCAGGTCAGTGGATAATATTATACATGTACATTTTGAGAAAACATGAGAAAACGTGTGCACAATTTTATGGGTCTCGCAACTGGCTTCCATTGGCAACACATGGAAAAATGTGTGCCTGCCGGCACCCTATTTTGAAACCACCTTCAATGTTAGTTTTCTTCCAAGCGTTACCATTTCAGGCGGAGTAATTTCACAGGGTATTTGGAACCAGTCCTATCATCACTTTGAGCATGGCTTCTGCCATGAAATCTGTGGGCACTTTTTTCTGGGTACAACATGTGGGTTTAAACTGTACCTGGCAAAAACACATAAGTGAAGTTTCTTACAGTTAAAAAGAAAATTTCATTGACTTGAAACTCCTCCTTTGCAATTAAAGTGCAGACACAAAAGTGCACAAATCATCACCCTTTATAGTCCTACATGCACCAATCAAGGTCTTTCGTTTTTTATCACTTGTACACCTCTGCCGAAATCACAGCAACAGCCATTTCAAATTCTTCCTTTTTTTTCATTCATCTTTGAGTTCTGACACTAATTCCTCACTGAATGTTGCTTTAATCTCTCGGCACCTTTCCTATTCTAGTCCTCAAACTTACGCTAAATGCTTTCTCACTTGATGCTAATTTCTTGGGATAGCTGGCCCTGGTCGTGAAGGATTGTAAGTCCAGTTTGGACCCTCTGGGTTTTTTTTTTTATTGGGATAATCGGTAACGGAATGTTGAGCAGTTAATTGGGGAGGGATTTTCAGCATCTTCCAGACAACATCCCAGGTATTGAGACAGCATTTGAGAAAAAAATTGGGATGCATACAAAGTCCTTTCTTTGGAAATGTCTGATGAGAAGGACTGGGATGAAATGGGGACGAGGTTACACATTTTCTAGATTTGAATGTCCCTGGCTTTTTGTCTTTTTTGGGATGAAATGGGGACGAGGTTACACATTTTCTAGATTTGAATGTCCCTGGCTTTTTGTCTTTCAGTTGGTGGGTTTGTCAAAGTGGCTGTCTGTCTGTTAACGACACTGTGTATCAGATAATTATACATTTGGAATAACATTTTTGTTATTGAAAATAACAGAGTGTGAAAAAGCACACACATGAACTAAATGCATTTTAGCCTAGCTAAGGGTGCAAAATTTCCTTTAAAAACGTCTTTCATATTAAAAAAAATGTGAATTATTTTTCCCCTTCTTAAAAAGGTTGTATACCACATGTACAAGTCTTCAGGCAGCACACATGTTGAACACATCTCCCCAAAAGGGGGCGAAAAACCTGACATTTCTACCCGAAATGTTTCTCCCCAAGTGGGGTTATCTTGTCCGGACATGCCTGCGTAAGGCTAAATGAAATACCCTCGTTGAAGGCAATAAAAAACGCAAAAAAAAGAAAGGCAGGCAGGATGTAGCCCAAATTGATTCCTGTCAATATATCTGATTGATGATGTTGAGTGGCCTACGGCGTCCACACACACACACGCATGGCACGGGATGTGATTCAGTCTCAATGTTATCGTCGGAAAGCAAAATTGTCAAAGAAGAGAATAGCAGGCATCAGGCAGTAGCTATTAATGGACGGAGGAGGTATACTCACAGTTCGACGGCTCGATCTGGGAACGTTCTGGGGAGTTCGGTGAGTCCGATCCCGCGACAGTCCACAACGTTCTCAGAGTTGCACGTACAGCCAGCCGGACACAGAGGCTTGACCTTGCACATGACCTCGTGGTCCTCTTCACCTGTTATCAAGGTCAAAGTTTTAAGGTCAAAGACAAGGACCAGTGCGGTTCAACAACTTTTAGACGACGTATCAAAACTAATGGGATATACAAGCTTCTTCATACTAGCTACTGGAAAAGTCATATGATCATAGTATGCCTGTTCCTTGGACTCAAGCATGAATAGAAGATGGCTCTATCTGACCACTTTAGAAAGTCCCAGTGGGAGGAAAACACCGCATGCGCGTGTACTGGTTCATGCAAGAATGAAGCAAAGTACGCACAACTAGTTTCATTCTGACTCTGCACAAACTCGTTAATTCTTGACGTGAGCATCATCCGCCACCTGCAGTGCATTTGAATGTCCCTCCCTGTGGTTTCCCCCTACTCTCCTTATGTAACCATTTAGGGGTACATGTACACGGAAACCATGCTCGTAAGTTACCGGTACATATGCATTAGACACAGGTTTTAATGTCAAACTGGGCAGTTTTAAAATTGGCTTTGGCAAGTGACTGTTAGGCAATTGGCAATGGGCTCCCTGCGCAAGTACCCCCTCAACGGCAAGAATGGGAGAGTTGGGGCAGACCACTGAGAGAGATACTCGAATGCATTGCTGACGACGCCTGACGCTCCCGTGAAGACGCCTTGGCTTTCATTAATTTGTGCACACTCGGTATAAAATTAGTTGTGCATACTTCGCGCTATACGCGCACAAACCGGTACGCCAACACGGTGTGTCCCGTCCACGGGGCTATCGAAAATAGTAAAAAGCGCCCTCTCTTGTTCATCAACGGAGCTAATAGACACAACCACGTCACAAAGCACATGATTTGGGCTTTAGATCAGATGAACGTGACATTTTCCCCAGTAAATGTGAAATGTGAACTTTTCTTTCAAATCAGATCTGAGTGTCCGAAATATATATTTGGGCACTACTGAGTCATGGGCACTATCAGTGCTACACAGTTGCTCCAAATTAGGCAAGGCTAATTTGCAACCATCACACGCTTTGCGTTACTACTCCGCTCGACATTTCGTGGGCTGGGCCCGCCTAATTGGAGAAACATGAAGTTGGCCTGGATTTGATTCACATTTCTCTCATAATCTGAAACATGGTCAGGAAGGGGAACTTTCCTGCGCTTGGCCGCACGTTCCGAATGAATTTGGCATGCGATACGCAGACAGGGGGGGGGGGGGGGGGGGGGGGGGTTGGCTGGCTTGATAAGTTTTCTGAGTGCATTCAGGATGACTGTTGGATAGAACAGGGGAGCCGAAAACTTGAGATGCATTACGTGGGGAGGAAAAACATGCCAGTCTGAATTCAATGTGAGCTGCGGTGATCTGTGACTGGAATGCTAATCTGTTAAATTCGTCTATGGTCTATCCAATGTTAGACCCTGAAATTTAGTGACGTATCCACATTGACAAATAAAGGCCATTCATACTCGCCGTGATAGGGAATGCAAATTTATGACATCACGTCAAGTTTTTCATGCCGGGACTATCGCAGTGAATGCTTCATGACGTCATATTTGCTCCGCATTTGTTCTCTCACGTGGACAATGGCCCGGCCATAAGGTATGCTCATACTGCATACATTTAATTGTGATTAAAAAAATTGACTCAAAAGTTGTTTGGGGTGATCATAATTAGCATTCTACAACATTAAGAGCCATCTCTATTCTCGATCAAAGTTAAATAAAAAATACGAAACCTGGTCAAAAGTTGTTATAAACTGCCACAAATGAAAAGCAATGACATTTCAAAATGGATTTGAGCCTAGCAAATTAGGGAGCCGTTCCGGGTGATGAAGTCAAGGCATTGAGTCAACGTGTCTTGAGTCAACGCGGCTCAGAAAAAAATGTGAATGAAGTCCATGGGATTTGGGATGGAAAAACAGAAACAAAAGAGAAGGAAAAAAAATCAGAACAAAAACAAAGGCTTTTCCACAGCTTGGTGATGAAGTCTAGGCATTGAGTCAATGTGGCTTGAGTCAACGCGGCTCAGAAAAAACAAATGTGAATGAAGTCCATGGGATTTGGGATGGAAAAACAGAAACAAAAGAGAAGGGAAAAAAAATCAGAACAAAAACAAAGGCTTTTCCGCAGCTTGCGGAAGAGCCCCACATCCCTTCATTGTCTTACCGGTGCACCTGAAGTCAGCCACCTGGAGCTCGGGGACTTTGAGACCCCGGAACTGACGGGGTTGCGAGCAGCGCGTGGACAGGGCAAGCCGTGGATGCAAGCGCAGCCAACTGGCAAACCAACTCAGGTAACAATCACAGTACAAGTCATTTCCTGCTAGACGTCTGCAGGTGGGGGGCGAGAGGGGGCAAAAGAAAACAATACCTATTAGATATAGATGCCACTTTGAGGTTTTGAGTTGTGGGGAGTCTACCGGCCCTTTCATACTATCCAAAACAAATAAAGTGTTATTTGTTATAGATGGGGGCGGAGTGACGTCATCCCATGAAAACATCTATTCATTTGCACACCAGTTTTCATTGGTTGCTATGTGTTACCATTCAGCACTCCAGACTCAAGAACCATTGGGTTTCCAGAACATAGGTCTGGGAGCTAGATGAGCCAATGTAAACAATTCCCGGACGTCCGCGCCCACCTATTGAATCTTTTTGAAGACCCACTATTCTCAACTCTTCAAAACTGCCACATTCCTACATATTTTTTTGCAAATAAGGACAGTAATATAATCTTAACTGCCTTGTGTATTATTTGAAATCTCCTTTGATGCGTTATAGTGATACCAATTCTAAGCAATTGATTTTGGTGACTTAACCCTTATTTTGTTGGAGCAGGTGCTGGTGGTTTTTCTCAACCATAAAGTATTGTTGATGCAAGGTGTGCTCTACCAAAATGATTCACTGCCTCAAGCAATATGAATTTGCAAACTTCCTGTTGCTCATAAATAGTGGGATGACACGATTGTCTTTACTTACAATGTCTTGAGATATGTCATGTGAGTGAAGCTGCTGCTACTCAGTGTGGTCAGGTTGTTATTGCTCAGTGCACTACAACAAAAAGGTCAAATAAATCTTTACAACACACAAATAACATCAGCTCGTGAACAAGTTTTCAAAGTAGATAGGCCTAAGAGAAATTTGGACTAATGTTGTAATGCAAGTGAAGTTTCACTGATTAGGCCCTCAAATTTGCCTACATTGTGATGCAGTTTCTAATTAATACAGCAATATCAACATGTTTCCCTTTTTAAAACTTTGTTAAGACGATGATTAAGAACAGCGTTCAGAAGTTGCTTAAGATCATTAAAGAGCATCTAGAATCCAAATTTTTTCACGAACCCAACGCTGTTAGGACTTCACGTTCGCATTGGTGCCCCACGCCTTTAGGCATTAGTGTTCCCCCCCCCCCCCACTTTTGAGAAGCAATGAACGCCATTGAAGGTAGGGGAAATAATGAATTTTAATACTCTATGCAATGCAACCAGAGAACAATATAAACAGCACTATACTTACAGTCTTTCTAACATTCTCAACGGTCTGAAGGCACCGTCAATGATGCAGGTGATCTGGTTGTTTTCAAGATTCCTGGGGTTGTCAAAAATAAATTAAGAATATGTAGACAGTAGAAGAAAATTTCAAAGTTCATGAAATACCCTTCCACGTTATCATAGGGTTTAAAAGAGCACCATATATTTCATAGTACAAAGAGTCATGTAATTACTCAGTGCAGTGTTTGTTCAAATGATTTGATTGATCTATTCTCAAAAAATGAGGAAAAAAAAACATAAAAGACATAAAAACCAAAAACTTACAAACTGCGGAGCAGCCCAGTTCCTCTGAACAGCTTCCTCGAGATCAACATCAACTTGTTGTTGCTGAGGTCACTGCAGAAAAGTAAAAAGAGGAAAACACACAATAAAATTAATTATTAGAAAAAATTCAAGTTTTATTTATTGCTTCATTTCTTGAGAAATCTCAAGCCAATATTGTGCATGGTACTGGGAGCTTAACAGTGTGGACTTAAAAACTGGAGTTAGTTCTTAATTTTCTAAGCAACATATTTAATGGCACAAGAAAAACAAATAACGTAATAAGTCTTAAATAGTACCCCAAAAAAAGAGATGGTTTGAAGACAATACACACATTTGGGCATTCACCAAGTACAACCTCCAATGCACCAAGATTTGCTCGAACAGAGCACACAAAAGTGTTACGTCAAAAATGAACCACACAAATCTGATAAGAATTTTCAATAACTTCATATTTCACATTCGATTACTCACGCACTGCTAAGCTAAACCACACGAATGCAATAACTACAGTTTAGTTTTCTAGGCCACAGTTCAATTTTGTTTTTGCTTGGAATCTTTTATACTAAGCAATCACATTATCAGCGGTTTAATAACTGTTGACCTGCCGGCGGGGTGCGCAAAATGGTTTATTTTCATATTTGGATTAGGACCAGTGGTAGAACCAGGCACTAGTTTTCTGGCTACGACTGCTGTTGGGTATGTTAGCATTGCGCTCGCTTTCAAGGCAAAACACATTTTTTTTTCCTTCAACTCTCTTTACTTAGAAACAGATGTTTTTACATGTAAGTTTTCTATCGCAACAGCAGATATTTCAGCATAGGAAACAGATTGCCCCCTTCTTCACTTTCACAGTCAAGGAAAAAATGTCCGGCAGATGGCTTCCATTTTAAAGCTGCGTTTTAAAACCGCAAAGACTACATGCAGTTTTCGCAAAAGAAACTTTTCACACCTAAAGATAAAAGAACCCGCGATGTGGACATTGTTCACACTAGCAGGATTTCAATATCTGATTTTGAGTCAGGCACGACATTTTTTATCTGGGTTGAAAGCCAAATCTCAAGGAAGAAAGAGGCTTGAAAATTCTCAGAGATTTTCAAAAGAAAAAAATAATGAGATTGACAAAATAGGGAGCTGCCAACATTGACGCCAGAAAAAATAGGGAGCCGCCAACATAGGGCTAGGTTAGCTCAGTTGGTAGAGCACCGGATCGGCAATCCGGAGGTTGCAGGTTCAAACCCTGCTCCAGTCAATTTGTTTGTTCAACTTACTTGAACAAATTATCATATTGCATCTAGTCATTTTCCCTTTATGGTTTATTTGAGAAATAGGCCTATAACAAAATAGATAAACAAGGGACTGTGTTAAAATTTGTAAGTTGGAAGGCATAAATGTGGAAGTCATTATGATGTGCCATCCCAGGGCTGTGCTAGCCTATAGCCTCGACCCATTTCGCTGATGAGCTAATGAAAAATTGATGCTTAGCACTTACATGAGCTCAAGAAAAGTCAGTTGGTAACCACTCAGACCGTGCATGTCTTTTCAATGGGAACCAGTTCTCGCTAAGCAGATTCTCTGTGCTTAATAAATGTTCTATGCTTAGATCTTGGCCCAGTACTTCATAACCACAGGCAGTCTTGTTACTTCACAATGAACACCATCTTGTAAATGTGGGGAATACCCACCTCCACGGTGGGCTTCTGAAGGCCAACTCAATCCAACCCAGATTTTATCAATTTTAAAACTCCCCCTTAAGAAAAGAATAAAATAATTATAATAGCATGTAGGCCTACATGTATGTAGTTCCACTAAAAAAAACCATGTATTTATCCATTCCAGACATTGATTTGACAGTAAGCTGGGTGGTCTGGTATCCCGGTTCCTGGGTGATTTGTTTGTTTAACTTGTAAGGAGGATTAAATTGTCCCTGTCTCTCACTTGTAAAGTCCATATCATGTGCAGTGCAGGTTATGGTTTTTATTGACTTGGCAAAACAAACAGGAGTGGGATGGTTGCTTGCAAATGGGGCAGCCAGTGATGAAGGCAAGGCCACAGCAGAAACAGGACCACTAGTGGACAGAAAGAAATGCGAACCCCCTGATCCCTTTTACCATTTTTTTTTCAATTAAAATTTACACAGTGATAATCCTACAGGCTTTCCATTGCTGCAAAGCTCCACTCCACTCTTCCGCAAATGAAATATTTTTCTGTTAATTGTCTTTTGAAGGGGGGGGGGGGAGCTTAATTTACGATCTACATTTGCACCCGGCCCTAGAACAGCTTCAAATGTTGCTCAAAATAATGAGAAGAATGTAAACCTGAAAATTCAATCTTCGTTTTGAAGTAGTTTGATAATGTTTGCCTGTCTTCTCTAATAAGGATATATCATTGGTGGTTTATCATTTAAGATCTTGCAGTTGATGTCACTGTCCTAGTAGTAGGCAGATTGCCAACCCTTGTGAATAAATCTCTTGGGTCACCATGTTCAACTGTTCTCAAGAGCAGCTTTGTCACATGTGAAGTTCAGCTTGGAGTTCACCAACAAGCAGAATACACCAGGGGTCCGCACTTGTCAC